CCCCCCCCCCCAAAGAAACATTTAAAAGTAAATACAAAAATAAAAATTTCCTTTAATTCTCCTTCTTGAGAGAAACTTCCTAAAAAATTTCAGCACCTGTATTAGCCAGCTTAGGCTGCCATTGCAGGATTCCATAGGTTGGGTGCCTTAAGCCACAGAAATGTATTTTCTGACAGTTCTGGAGGCTGGAAGTCTGAGATCAGGACACCAGCACAGTCAGGTTCTGAGAAGTGCACACATCTTCCCAGCTTGCCTCTTTCCTGTCCTCATGGTGGCAGAGGGTGCAGGTGGGGGATTCTCCTGGGGTCTCTTCTTGATCCCTATTGGATCAGGACTCCACTGTTATGACTTCATTTAACCTTCCTTACCTCCATATCTTCAAATAAAGTACTTCGGGGGTCAGGACTTCAACTGAATTTTGGGGGGAACATCCCTTCATAACAACACCTGGCAAAAAGCACTTTCAGGTGGAGTTTGAGAAAATGAAAGCATGCTGATTTCTTGTCCTTGACTGTGGGGTACAGGTCTCCCTAGGCATTCTTCACCTATCATACTAGATATCTAATAAATGACAGTCTCATTGCCCAGAACAGAGTTAACTGAACAAAGTTAAACTAAGCTGAATCCATATCAGGAAAACAAACAATGATAGCTCTTCTGAAACCCCAAAATGCTATAGAGTGTTATTTTGAGATGTCCAGTGTATAGGTTTAGAACTAGAATAGAAGGGTTGATTTAGAATCAGAAACAATTATTCTCTTTCTTATTACAGTACTTTGAAAGTTGTATCTTAACTCTTTTAGGTCAATCAAGGAGCAGACAGTATACATATGAGAGGTTCAGTAAATCAAAGCGTCGCCATAAAGAATGAGGATCAATGTTTGTATGTATGTATACTACATATATATATATATATATATACATATATATATATAGTATATATACATGGATACTATATATATATATATATATATATACATTGTATATATATGTATATATACATACACATAGTTCTCTTCACTCACTGGTTTTTCTTTCCTCCTCCACTTTTGACTGGCTATCTTTTGTCTTTCACATCTTCACAGTTATCTCCTTAATTTTCACAACTTTTCGTAGAGATTACTTTTATGTCGATGTCTTAGCTAGGTGTGTGTGCGTGTGTGTGTTTTTTATTCTGAGTCCATTGATTAATATTTCCTAAAATTTTATGCCCTGTTTTTTTGACTTACCATTTGGTCGCAATCAACAAAATGGTATTATGCATCTATGATGAACATGGTGAGGCATAGTTGTGGGGGTTCAAATACAGCAAAATCTCGGTTTGCAAGCATAATTTGTTCCGGAGACATGCTTGTAATCCAAAGCACTCGTATATCAAAGCGAATTTCAAGAACCATTGGCTTGGTTGTGATCACGTGACATCCAGTGTCATGTACGACTCATATTGCAAGACATCGCTCATGTATCAAGTTAAAATTCATTAGAAATGTTTGCTCATCTTGCAGAACATCTGCAGAACAAGTTACTCATAATCCAAGGTTTTACTGTATCAGGCAAAGAAAAGTTGTAATTTGATAATAATGCCTATTAGGGGGTGCATATTGGCTTGGACCCCTGGTAAATAAGATACTAAATGGCAAAAATAGGTATATATGCGCTAGAACAGTGGCTCAAATACTAAAGAAAAAGGAAACTTAACAAAATATTTAATGCTTCATATTTTTGGTATTTTTTAGTGTTTGTTTTCCAAGTAGTAATTTGTGGAAAGGGTAAATTAAACAAGTAAATCACAAAGAAGGAGAGAAGGTGGGACTAGAAGAGTTACACTTAAAAAAAAATGCACGTACAAAATAAATAAAACACAGATAAAGGGTGACTTTCTCAATGCTCTGGTTTCAGTTTTCCATGTAGTTCTCATTTAAAATAAAAGATTATACATCAAGTGTGTTAATATTCTGGTAATGGGCTCATTTAACGGATGCTCAAACACCTATAACTAATTGCATTTGCTTGCTTGCTTTCAGGATAAAAGGTATGCCCAGGGCCGGGGGTTCATTACCAAGGCCATCAACAGCTGTCACACTTCCTCCCTCCCTACCCCTGAGGACAAGGAGCAAGCCCAACAGATCCATGTGAGTCTTTTATCCACGTTTCTCACTACCACTGAGGCAGTGCACTGGTAATACCATGCTACACGTTCTGAGAAGTGCCACAGTAGGTAATGCTAATTGCACACACAGACAAATATGGAGGAAAAGCAATCAAAGAGAAAAGACAGTATGTCATTGAAGAATCAGTGGTGAAACCCAAATGCTGGCTCAAGATTGTAGCAGTAGGTGCCTGGGTGGCTCAGTTGGTGAAGCTTCTGACTCTTGATTTTGGCTCAAGTCAAAATCTTAGGGATCATGAGTTCAAGCCCCACGTTGGCTCCATGCTGACAGCATGGAGTCCACCATGGAGTCCAAGTTTAAATAAACTTAAAAAAAAAAAGATTGTAGCAGCAAAATAAAAAATCTGTAAGTTGTTGATGCAAACACCATTATTTTAACCGATGCCTTAGACCCAGGGTTGCATGTATTATACTGTATGAAAGCCTGCACTAAATTGGACTTCCATGCATAAAACAGAAGGTTTGCAAAATCATGGGTATGTAAGAGATGCAAGTGCAGTTGTATTTTTTACACGATACCCTTGGCTCCTACACTGGCAGCATTTAACACCACTGAGCACTGTCCCAGGTGAGCCATGTCTTGCTGATTTTCAAAGCTCTCCTCCTGAGTCTGCTTCTACTTCTCTGACCCCTACTTCCCTCTCCATTCTCCCCTGACTCCTCTGTCCTGTAATGTCATGTATTGTTTCTCACGGCTGCAAAAAAATCGCCTCTGTTCTGATGACAACAAAGTCTGCATACGAAGCCCCAGTCATTCATCCCAACTCTTTGACCACTGTCATCTCTCCTTTCTGATTCTCTGCCGCGGTCACAACAGTCTTAACGTGACTTCAAATAAGCATCTATCTTCACACACATACCCCCGTTAATACAATCTGATTCTCTTCACAGCTTTGTTAATGGTACCAGCATTCTTTCTATCCTCTAAGCTCAGTAATAGTGGTGGTGGTGGTGGTGATAAAATGAAGGATGAGGTACCTGGGTGGGTCAGTCAGTTAAGCGACCGACTCTTGATTTCGGCTCAGGTCATGAGATCGAGCCCCTCCCTGGGACAGCACTGCTCTCAGCAAGGAGCCTGCTTGGAATCTTCTCTCTCCCTCTCTCTCTGCCCCTCCCACGTTTGCACTCTATTGACAAATAAACTTTCAAAAAGAACTTTAAAATGAAGGAAAGGGTGAAGGAGAAGGAGGAGGGGTTAAAATCTATTGAGGGCCACTCCATTGCCGGGCACTTCACAGAGCAATTTACATGCACTGTATTTAATCCTCACCAAAAACAATCCCAGAACACAGGGCACCGTGAGGACACTTGCCAAGGTAAGGAAACGGAGGCTCTGAGAGGTTGCAGAATTTGGACTAACGACAGGAGTTGTAAGTTGTGAGTCCGGGCATCATCTGATTCTAAGCCCTCACTCTTACTCATGATGCTACAACGGCCTTAGCAAAACCAGACGGCCATTCCCTGTGCGGCCTGGCCCTCCATTTCGTATCTGAGGACATGTTCCCATTGCACTGTCACTTGGATTCTTCTCTACTCCTCACTTCCTTTACACTAGCTTAGTTCATGGACCTCAGGGAAGCAAGTATTTTCTATCAGAGACGACCCTCTCCTAAGGCTCTCCTGTGGGATCCACAGGGGGCAACCGTCCCTTGACTTCCGTTGCAGACTACAGCTGGCATACGCCCTGTTATTCACCTGAGCGGGCCAACAGAAGAGACTGTTCTGGTAGCAGTAGAGGGACAGGGGTTGGTCTAGATTGAGGACAGCGTATGTACGAATGCCCTGTCTTCTTTGCTCTTTGTTGTAATATCATGGAGCAAAAATTACAAATCACAAACGAATACATTAAAGAACGACTTGAGTCATTCGTATGAATGAGTCGCTGGATGAAAAGGACTTGGGCCCTCTGTCATGGACCCTGGTGGAATCCGTCTTTCCTGAGTCAGGTACTGCAGGTGCGTACTGAGTTCCAGCAAACCTCTTTTGGGACCAGCAAAGCTGTCAAACATAAAAGAACTCACTGAGTGGGTGGATGGTAGAATTTCCGAGGGAAAACAAAATCCTTCATGCTATAAACTAGAAGCCTCATTAGATGAAGCAGTTATTCAAATCAGCCAGATTGTTTTCTAATTTTAACAAAGTTTAAGCCAATAGCTTCAGCTTTTTATGTTTACAACTTGAAGCACCTACAAAATATTTTCCGCGCACACACGAAGAACAAAGAGATAATTCGGGGCAGCCTCTGGGAGCAGAAATCACAAGCTAACCAAACCCACTGTGTTATGATTTATTTAATGCGATTGTTTCATGTGGTCGCTTAGCACGAAGACCTTCTGAACGTGATACTCCGAGTGTTGCGGTCCTGGAATGACCCCCTGTATCACCTCGTCACGGAAGTGCGAGGACTGCACGAAGCCCCCGATGCTATTCTGTCCAGAGCCATTGAGATCGAGGAGCAAAACAGGAGGCTTCTAGAGGGCATGGAGAAGATAGTGCACCAGGTGAGAAGCCTCCCGGAGCTTCCTTGTTTTTCTCACTAATGAAAGAGGTGACCTCCATGGTGGGAAGTGAGTTCTGAATACCTCACTGGGCAAGACCAAAGTTGAGGCACTTTCTATCTTAGACGACTATGAAATAAAGCAAGACTCTAGTAATTCATGCTGGCAGATTATATTGTTAGTGAACCTTAGGATGCTACCGTGATGTCTGACAGGTGGAGCGTTCCCCGCCCCCTCCCCCCCCCCCCCCCCCCCCCCCCAAACAACACAGGAATCCACCAAAGGCTTTCCTCGTCCTGGGCACCAGGGTTTACAATATGTCCCAGGAGAAGAAACCTATAGAGAACAGAATCTGCAAGATAAACATGTTCCTCAAAGTATCCCAGGACACCTGCTACTGAAATTCTGGTTGGGTTCTTTCTCTTTTCTCCCCACCCCAAAGGAGGACAAAGGGAAGGAAGAAAAGAGAAAATCAAAATCAGATTAGATGGTGTTTCGTGCCACTACCCCAGCCCCACCCCGCTGCACATATTTGTCACAGAGAGGAGACTGAAAAGATGGGGTCAGGGCATCAATGCTGCCTCACGAGTACTAGATTTCTGTGGGTCACAAAAGACAGGAGTGTTTCTTTTCTGGAATTTTCTTTGTTTTGTAACTTGCAGAAAGTTGTCTCTTCCTAAATTGGGGTGTGGGGTGGGGGAGAGGCTTCAAAATCAGAGCCCATTGGGGGCCCCAAAATTAAAACTCATGCATTTCATCTCCTCTACTAATGTCAAATTTACATGGAGTTAGTATTTGCAATATAGATCTCCAATCAGATGGGATGTTTTCAACACGAATGAGTTAACATCCGAACAGCTTTATGAAGTTCTCAGACAGTGTCATCTAAAGAAAAAGACAGCACTTTAAGAATAACAGGAGCGATTTTCTACATCCCATGTTTTGTACAAAGTACACGTCATCATGTGTCCTTTTTGTCAGTTTCCAGGGAGAAGCCTACAGCACATTTCCACCTTGAGACATGAAATAAACACCTGGGTTTTCAAATTATTTGCTTCATTACTTTCTGAAGTCACTACACTGTTCTAGAACACTTCAGTTTAATGACTTATTTATTCTTAGGCATATCATTGTCCCCTGCATGGTGGATTTCGTCTTAGAGCCCAAGCACCAAAATTAAACCTAAGACACAAGGCAACACAAACATACACTACACGCTGCACACACACTTTAAATTCCAGGAGAGAATCCCAGCTTGAAAATAGTCTTACTCTGCAGGTGACAGTTCAGCAGATCAGGGTCTACGGTTATCCTGCATTTGTACCCAGCAGCTCTCAAGCTTGCCTGGTGGCCAAGCAGGCAACTCGGTCTCCGGGTCCTTGGGGGCATTCTCGGCTTGCAGCGGCCCGGGGAGCAGGCACCATGGGGCCCCACCCTGACGTCCCTCCATGTCTTTTTGTTATCACTGTCAGGCTCCCCAACCTACCACTGACCCCTGCCCTCGAAGGGCATGCTGCTGGCACCCTCACTCTTTCTCACGGGCACCTTCCACAGCATGTCCCCCCCAAGAGACCTCAAAAGCAAACGGCTACTACTTATAGACATTTGGGGGTTATCGGTCCCGGGTGGACTGTGACTGTCTCCTATTTCAGCAGATCCTCTTAGGGACAGTCAGCACTAGATGCCCTGCACCTTAAGGCATCAGGTGCCATCCCTATCACTTCTGAGGTCTGTCGTCCATACGCTACACGGAGAAGAGAATCGGTGTGAAGCGGGAAATAGGTAAATGTAATTATGATGACGTATCAGAAGAAATCTGGAACAAAGAACAGACGAGAGACAAGGTTCAGGACACGAAAGATATCCTCAAGGAAGAAATCTGAAGCCACCCCTCCACTGTCCCTCAGTCACACTCATATATACGTAGGGTGCAACTCCATTGAGACTACATCTCTCTCAATATACACCAGCTTTGTGGTTCTCTCTCTCTTTACTCCTGGGCAGAAATGCTTCTTCTGTGATCACATCCATGTTAGAAAACCTACATCTGAATTCTGCTTCTACTGCTCAGACTATTAACAGATCTCTGATACACCAGCTCAGTAATCTACGCCTCCCTCTAGAGAGCGTTGACACTCATGCCTCTTCCCCAAATCTTCGTTTGACAACGGGAGGGAACGCAGACAAGCGACTACTAGTAATACTAAGTTGCTATCTTTTTGGTGACTAGGTTCATCCCGGAGTCAGAGAAAACGAGGTCTACTCCGTCTGGTCCGGACTCCCGTCCCTGCAGATGGCTGATGAAGACTCTCGCCTCTTTGCTTTTTATAACCTGCTCCACTGCCTACGCAGGGATTCACATAAGATTGACAGTTATCTCAAGCTTCTGAAGTGCCGAATCGTCTACGACAGCAACTGCTAAGCCCGTATCTGTCCCATCTATTTCTGGAAGGGTCCCTAATGATCCGTCCCGCAGCAAGCTCCTCTTAGTGTTATAGCTTTTTAATGCGCGCATGGGTGTAATGGGTCTCATCTTAAAAAATAAAAACGGACTCCTCCGAGACATCAAAATCAAAAAAAGCAATTCATCAAAGTGTCTCATTTTCATTTAGTAGAGAATCCAAAGAAGATCCATCACCACCACTGAACAGTTCCTGTTAAAATTTGTCACAAATAGCAGAAGCTAGCATTAGAAACAAGACCGTTAACGGCTTCCTTGAGGTTCACAGTAAATTATTACAGGTCAAATGACCAGAATCAAAGAATTAGATAATTACGTATCCTGCTGGTCCTGCTACCAGAAAGAGGGAACTCTCAGGACTCTCTGAAAGTCAGCCACACACCATGTTTGAACAGACAATGTAAGCACCATGAAGCTGTGATGTGCCCTCACAGTATGAGGCTTACCGAGCCGTCTAAAACTTGGTAGGCTACCGTATTCGTAGATTTGAGCCGCTATAACAAGACATCACAGACTTACAACCAGCAGAAATATTTTTCTACATCCTGGCCAGGGGAGGCCATGGCAGGGAAGTCACGGACTTCTCCCTGTGTCCCCATGTGGTGGAAGGAGCCAGGGAGCCCTGCGGGGTCTCTTTTAGAAGAGCACTAATACCATTATGAGGACTCCAGCCTCATGACTTAACACCTCCCAGAGGCCCCACTTACTGCTGCTATTTGTTACTTTCCGGGGTTTAGGATTTCAACATCAGAAATTGGGAGGAACACAAACACTCAGATCAGGGCAGATTCCAACATGTCATGGTGTTATCCTTCTCCAGTGGCCGTTCTCAACCATGTAGCACTGAACTCCTCCTGGTGGCGTCATCACGGACGCATCTCATAGGTTTGAGTTATTCTTGGTCTCAAAAGTCCATTCGAGTCCACTTTCAACTCCATTTCACACTCAACCTGTTTAGTGTTTTCCTCCGCCCCTTTGTGGCTCGTGGGACCTACCAGGGGGAAGCAAATGTGTTCAATTTCTGCAAGGTTTCTTCCCCCTCCCGCTTCTGGATCACCATCTCTCTGGGCCACGTTGGAAGGGGATAGAGATGAGGAGAGATGGTCAAGTTCTGACATCACTGGCTTTCACGGTGTCGCTGTAGCCTCCTCATTGCCAACAGGAGCTAACCTTGAATTCCCTCGAGTGGCAAGTGGCTCCCTGTGGGGCACCCTTGTGATTTTCCAGGACATTCACAAGTGAGGGCACCCTACTGTCTACGGTATTTACCAGGGAAAATACTCGGGCTTGATTCTTTCTCTACCCCCACAGCTGTGCCCCCTGCTGTATCCCCCCAACCTCTCTGCTGCTGTGTCCTCGCCCTGCCAGCACCCTACTGGGGAAAACTGGCTCAGGGTCATCTGTCTCCTTGGGAACCCACAGCAAACTCATGCATCATAACCACTGGAAACAACCAGGAGGCCATAATACTGGTTTGCTTTTTATCCCATCCCGGGGTCTCCTGACAATCTTCTTCTCTTCCTGTCCACAAAGACACAGAGTGGATCGGGAGGTTAGATTCACGAACACACATGAATCTGAGGAAAGAGATGTGGCTCTCCCTTTCTTTTAGAACCGATGAGTAATTATCTCTGTCAGTAATTGTCAGAGAGTTGGCCTTGCAAATACTCCCTGCTAGGCCACTGAATCCTAACACCCTGCTCCTTCTACACTTGGTCTCCTGCTGGAGAAAGGGGACTGGATTGGGGGAGCCCAGCTTGTCCAACTGCCACTAAGCAACATGGGATTAGGGCCGATCTCTTCCGGCCGGCCGCAGAAGGCAGTGGGATTGCCAGACTGTTTCTGCAGCAGCATAAGGGCTTTGGCAGGCATTCCTCGACAGCAGACAATAAGAATTACTCCATCCAACATCCCGACAGAGAGGAAATAAAAAGGTAGAGCAGGAAGAGGATGAAGAGGAAAAAGGAGGCGGGGAAAAAAAAGAAGGGGAAACATGAGTAAAAGACTTCGGAGCTGTGAAGGCTGAGATGCTATTAGAATACGGGATTTGGTAAAGACTTCAATCTATTGCTTAAACTTTATACCATAAGAGCAAATATTATCTAACATTTTCCTTATACTCCCCTTTCCTCTTCTCTCTTCCTTTTCTGAAATTTGCCTTTGTATTCAAGTATTCTTTGCCCTTACTCATTAATTTGAAATAGCTCTAGAGATGAACAAAACTTGGCACATCTTCAGATCAGAACTCAAGTCAATCCTCCTCGTCCTGCAAAGAAATCTTTCCCACATGCACAGGAATGCTGCCCGACAAAACCAAACTCTTGCGTCATGGCCGGCATTATTTTATCTGGGTCCTGCTTCTGACTCTAGCTGTGATGACCCAAACCTTTCAGAACACAACAGAATGCCCCAAACCAATCTTGAACCACCCCTTTCTCCAGCACGCACGCAAAATGTCAGCTTTCTTCTTTTAAAAGGTAGGCAAGCCAGAGAAAAACCTGCATGCGCTTCCTTCCTCAGTCATTTACTGCTGAAAACATCTAATTCTCTTGTGTTACCCACTTAACTTCCTATTCTTCCATTTCTAAATATTTCCAACAGAGAGGATGGTATTTACAAGGGGTGAAGTTTGGTAATAAATGGACAATGAAACTGTATAAAACATAACTTCACCACTAGCCCACAGACATCTTCATGTATTTGTCTCTCACAAAGTTTATTCCCCGCACAAATTCTGAGATACTTGAGATAAATAACTGAGGTGATGATATGAAAAGGTTTCTCGCAGCTTGACCATGACATATGAACCGAACACTGTATTTTTCAGACAAGATTGAGCGGAGCCATGGGTGTTCTGTGGAGTCAGCAAGGGGTAGGCGGAAAGGGGATATTTGGGAAGAACATAACAATCACTCCCCTGCCAACCGGAGTGTGTCTATTTTCTTCTTCTTTTACAGATTTCCACGTAAGATTACATTTGAAGAAACGGGCCCTGCTAGAGGAAGAACGGTAGAGAAACACACAAAAATCCTTGAAATTCACTGATCTCATAGGTTAGTCAATCATGGGTGCTGTAAGAACTAAAACAGGTTTGGAAAACCTCTATCCCCTAAAAGTTTGCTCTCAAGTTGTAGAGAAAGAGTGGGGGGCATACACATACAAGTTACTGTACCAAATGATAGAGAACAGTCAGCATAGCAGGTGACGCTAACCAAAGCACTACAGTGAATTGAACGATGGCGAGGAGACGTCTGGATGTGAGAACGAGGGACCTTCTTGGACTGACGGCTTCACCGTGGGGTTGTGAAGGGTTGATGGGATATTGATAGGCACAAAACTAGAAGACGGAATATCTGTTGACTCATTTAAAATCATTTTGTGGGGGCGCCTGGATGGTGCAGTCGGTTAAGCGTCCGACTTCAGCCAGGTCACGATCTCGCGGTCCGTGAGTTCGAGCCCCGCATCGGGCTCTGGGCTGATGGCTCCGAGCCTGGAGCCTGTTTCCGATTCTGTGTCTCCCTCTCTCTCTGCCCCTCCCCCGTTCATGCTCTGTCTCTCTCTGTCCCAAAAATTAAAAAAAAAAAAAAAAAAAAAAAAAAAAAAACGTTGAAAAAAAAAAATAAATAAAATCATTTTGTGACCTAAGTATCCCCTACCTCTTGAGCTCTTAACACAAAGTGAACTGAGCTGTTAATGTGTAAAGCATTATAAGGTGTCAGTAAATAATCAAATTTGACCCAAGTACAAGAAATGCTCACATTTTTAACAGACGTATAATAGCTCTCACTAGTATGCTCTCCTAATATGCTCTCCACATTAACAACGAAAACCACACGGGGATTGCTTATGCATTGCGAAGGATCATGTATGTCAATTTGGAGAGTTTGTACTTACTCTACAAGGCAACAGGAAACCAGGAGATTTTAGTGCAAGAGAGCAGTATGTCCGGAATTGGAAAAAGGCAACACGAACCCGGTTTGGAGGGTTGTGGGAGTGTGCGACTGGCAGAGAAAAAGAAGCGGCCGGGAAGCAAGTTGGAAGAGTGTTATGACATCCTACAAGAAAATCAAGGAGGGGTCCGTCAAGCCAAGAGAAGCAAAGCACGTGAGACGTGTAGGCAGAGCATCAGGGCTTGACTGCCTCAAAGAAGCGAGGCAGACATTAAGAGTCAAGAAAGCATCCACGCACTTGGAAGAGTAAATGAAAGATGAGAAAGAGGAGACAGGAGATCAATTAAGGTTTTGTCCAAATGCATCTGAACTCAATTTCCCTGTATCTCATCAACTTTGTACCAGAAACCGTCAAAAATGTTCGGTTACTTTAGCAAATCACAGAAATGAGGACACACAAGAGCCTCGGCTAGACTGTATCCAATGCCAGAACCAACGCATTTATCCGAGCTGGTGAGGACGAGTGCTAAGTCACCGGGCTCTTTCAACACTTACATTAAGGCATACACTGTAAAGCACAGTGGATGAGTAGGAATAAAATGAAAACAACTCCTGTCCTCATAGAGCCAGCCCTGCACAAAACCTAAACAAAAGTCATGCCTCCCTCCCCCAAACCTGTCCATCCTCCCTAAGAGTGTCTCACTCTCTCTTGAATCCACTCCTGTCTCCTGTCCCTTCATTGTCTTACTCCCAGCAGATGGTCAGTTAGTCACAAATCAAATAAATGAACACTGTCCACTCCTAAGATAATAGTCATATTTAAAGTCTCTTGAAACTGAAAAGCCTTTAATCCCCTGAAAATATAACTCTAATAGTGAGATGACTGCGCCCCAGCATCTTTCCAAAATGCCCCCTGGGCATCCAGACTTGACTCTGCTACTCAGAAAGCTTCTGCAAGAACCATAACCTGTTTGGACAGCAAAGATAGGAAAGACAAATGGAGCAATGAACAACATTGAGAAAGCAAGGCAGGGACAAATGGGAAAGATAACATAGGTTTTAAAAACAGGTTCACATTTGCATGCCAAGCCAGCATGACAGGAGCCAGGCGAGCCTCGGTGACGGCTCTCCGTGAATTGGCTACAAGAAATCTTACACAACTCAACTGTTTAAACACAATTCTTCGATTCTAGCACTCAGAGCCACTCGTCTCACTTAATTG